GCCCCCTCCCACCACGTCCCGCTCCCAGGGGATGCTCAGCAGGGCGCCGAGATTTTTGGGGCCTTTTGGGGCCTTTTGAGGCGTTTCGGTGGTTCCGGGCGAGGCCACGGGGCCCCTGCCGGCTGCGGGCGGCCCCTCGGGGACCCCGGCGCGTGGGGGGGGGGGGCCGGGCGTGGGGGCGGGGGGGGGGGGCCGCCTCCGCAATGCGGCATCGCCCCACGTCACCGGCCCAGGGTGCGGCCGGCGCCGCAGAGGGGCAGGCCCACGGCGGCCGTGTCCGTCCGTCCGCCCGTCCCCGCTCCGGCTGCAGCATCCGCGGGTCCCGCCGTGGGTCCTGCCGTGGGTCCCGCCATGGGGTCCCGCCGTGGGTCCCCTCCCATGGAGTTGCGCCCAGGGTGAGCTTCGAGCGCCGGGAGGCTCCCAATGGTGGGAAGCGGCCGGAGATGCCGCACGGGGACCCCCGGGTGCCGCCGTGGGGACGGGACTGGGTCCCCTTCCCGCTGCACAGAGCGGGGACCGGAGGGCAGAGCTGGGGAAGGGGGTGGGCGTCGTGTCCCCGACACCGCCCGATTCGGCCGCGCTCCGGGCAGGAAGAGGCTCTTCCCGCCGCCCTGGCCCCTCGAGGTCGGGAATGCTGAAGCCACCGGCGTTCGCTCCCCTTCGGCTGCCCCCAAAGGGCGTCACGGGGAACCAGGAGCCTTTCACCTCCCCCAGGATGACTCTGTGGGGACCCCCCCCATCCGCAGCCACCGCTGCGGCCCCCAGGGCATCGCGGCCCCTTTCCCGGTGCCCCCGGCCACTGGGAGCCGACACAAAGGACACTTTGTGCCTTCATCCTCCTCCTCCTCCTCAGCGGAGCACCAAGGGCTGCAGTGACCAGGGTGGGGGGCAGTAGGGGGGCACATTGCTCCAGGAAAGCGGATTTTTCCCTCCTCACATCGGGAATGAGGCGTCTGGCCGCTCCCTGCCCCGGGGTGTCCGATGCCGTCCTGCTCCGCTTGCCCGCGGCCGGATTAAGGTCATCGCCACCGGCCGCGGAGCCGGGACCGGTGACATTCCCGGCGCCGGGATTTGCCCCGTCCCGGCTGGGCTCAACGTTGCGCTGGGGCGGACCGGAGCTTCGGCAGCGTTTCGCGGAGCCGGGGTTATTCCAGAGGCCGGGAACGCAGCGGGGCCGGGCGAGCGCTACTCCTGTTCTGTGTATGGCACTGGTAGAATTCACTGTGAGACCCCGCGATCAGTGAATTACCATAGGGCCATAAACAGAGCAGAGAACGACCCGCGGGCGCCGGGCAGGGACCCGCGGGCGCCGGGGCCACCGTGGGCGCCGGGGCCACCGTGGGCGCCGCTTGGCCCGTTTTGGCACTAGCACATTTTTGCTCGGGTCTCTCTGCGTGGAGCAATTATGTGTAGTGCCAATATGGGAGAAGGCGGAGAGACGGCGGCGAGGGCCGGCACCGGCCGGGATGCTCCGGGAGCGGCGGGAGCGGCCGGGATGCTCTGAGGGCCCTGGGGCTGGCAGGGATGTTCTGGGATCATGGGCTCAGCTGGGATGCTCCGGGGCTGGGAGAGAGGCTCTGGAGCAATGGGGATATTCTGGGATCACTGGTTCAGCTCTGGGGCTGGGAGAGAGGCTCTGGAGCAGCAGGGAGGTTCTGGGATGGGCTGGGATGCTCCAGGGCTGGCGGGATGCTCCAATGTGCCTGCTGCTCTGGGCTCAATGGGGAGGTTCCGGGTGGGAGCGGGGAGGCTCCGGGATACTGGGATGCTCAGGGGAAATGCTGGGATGCTCCGGAGCCATCAGGAACCCAGCGTGTGATCCCATCCGAGTCAACCCCTTTTCCTTAAGGAAAGGTCCCGGTGCTCCCAGGACTGATGGCTGCACTGGGGGCTCAGCAAGACCCCCCCACCCCAGCGGGCTGGATTTTGTGGCCTGGCTCCCATTTTTTCCCTTTTCCACAGCATTCCGGCCGCTCCAAGGGCCGCCGCCCCCTCCGTGGGCGCAGAGGCCGCGGCAGCTCGTGACACGCGGCGGTGGGGGGCGGCGGGGCGCCCCGCGCGGCGGCTGCCTTTGGCAATGGTAGAACTCACACTGGTGCGGTAGCAGGATCCGGTGGTTCTAGACTTGCCAACTACAGCCCCGCGCCCGCGCCGGCACCGGGAGCCGGGCTCCGAGGCGGCCGCCCCATCCCGGGATCCCGGCCCGCGGTCCCGGCCCCGTGCGGCTCCCGCGGCGCCGGCCGCTATCTAGGGCAGCGCTGGTGATTACGGGGCCGCTGCCGTGAGCGCGGGCGGCTCGGATCACCCGGATTAGGCTGCACGCAGGAGCCGGCGCCGGATGTGCAGGAGGAGCCGGCGCCGGCCTCTGCCGGCCGGAGACCATCCGTCTGTGTGGATACCTCTCCATCCATCCATGCATCCATCCATGCATCTATCCATCCATGCATCCATCCATGCAGCTACCTGTTCATCCATCCATGCATCCATCCATGCATCCATCCATGCATCCATCCATCCCTGCAGCTACCTGTTCATCCATCTGTCCATGCATGCATGCATCCATCCACCCACGCAGCTCTCTGGCCATCTATTTATTAATTTGTTTATCAATCCATCCACCCGTCTGACCGTCCAGCCGAGGATCTATCCAGGTATCCGTCTGTCTGTCCCGCCGCGGGTTTGTCTGCCCCGCCACGATGGACCGGCCCATCCAAGCCCCGAGCTCCCCATGCACCAGCTCGTCTGCTCCTCTGTCCGTGTGGCCAAACAGTGATCCCTCTACCTGCTCCTCCATCCCTCCATCCATCCCTCCATCCATCCATCTATCCATCCCTATATCCAGTGAATGACCCATCCCTCAACACAGCCACTTGTTCCTGTGCTGTCCTTCTGTCTCCATCGATCCAGCCGGCTCCCCGTCTGTCCATCCACATATCCATGCATCCATGCAGGGCCTATCCTGCCAGGTGTCCATCCGTCCACGCATCCATCCATGCATCCCCCCATGAATCCATCCACCCGTCCGCGTTCCTGAGCGGCCATTTATTGCCCTATCCATCCCTGTGTCCATCCCTGCCCTGTCCGTGTGTCCGTCCATCCCCTCCCGCGGGATGGCACCACCTGCCCCCTCCCCGTGGGCTTTGCCCCCCCCCATTGCCCCCAACGTGCCCTGGGGTGGGGGTGGTGCCCCCACCCAGCCCCACCCCCAGGAAGCCCCGCCCCAGATAAACCCCGCCCACCACGAGCTCCACCCTCGCAAGAGGCTCCGCCCCCAACAGCCCTCCCCTCCCCCCCAGGGGGTCCCAGCCCCAGAGCCCTGTCCCGGCCTCCCCCTCCTCCTCCCTTCCTCTTTCCCTCCTCCTCCTCCTCTGTTCTTCTCTCCCGACATTCTACATCCTCCCCCCTTCCCTCTCTTCCTCCATCCTCCTCTTCCCCCCTTCCCTCTCTCCATCCTTTTCATCCTCATCTTCCTCCCTCCATCCTTTTCCGCCGTTCTCCTCCCTCCCTCCTTCCTTCTCCATCTTCCTCCTCTTCCTCCATCCTCCCATCACCTCCCTCCTCCTCTTTAGCCTCATCCCAGGCTCCGGGTGAGAGGAGCCGTCCTGGATGCTCCCACGGGAGCCCCCCAATAACCCACTTGGATAAACCGCCTTCCCCTCCTGTTTGGATCCCAAATAACCGGATCAGCGGGATGAACCCCAGGCTGCCCCCTCCACCAGGTGACAAAACCCTCCAAATTGCCCCAAACCTCCCCAAAAAGAGGAGCGAGGCCCGGACTCGTCTGTAACAATTTATTGAGGGAGGCAGCACTGGAGGCCGGGGGGGATCCATGCTCCGCTCCGCCGCCGCGTCCCTCTCCGGGGGGATCTCTCCGACTTAACAGCGCGTCAGTCACCGCCAAAGAAACACGGACTCGGAAGCCACCGACATCGTCACGACGACAATAAAAAATAATGAGAGTTTTAAAACCACCCCCCGCACCCGGAGCCCCTCGCGGCGGCCCGAGGACGGCGGCCGTTTCCGTAGAAAAGAAGGGAAGAGCCGGAGGGGGCCGGAGGCCGCGGGCAGCGCCGGGAGCGGCCGCGTGGAGAGAATAATAAAATTAAAAAAATGAGGTTTGAAATTAAATAGCGTGTGTAGCCCCCCTCCCGCCCCCCCCAACCTCGGTTTGCCCATGGGGTGGGAGCGGGAAGCGCCGCGGGAGCTGGCGGCTCCGGGGGGATCCCGACGGGAAGGGCCTCCATTGGGCCGGGGATGGAGCTGGAAGGGCGGGATCCTGGCGTGGTGGTGGCGGGGGGGGGGCTCTTTCCCGAGGGAATCCCATGGGAATCCCATGGGAACCGGGAGCGGGACCCTCCCCTACACCCCCCCCCCCGGGGGACAAATAATAATAATAATAATAACAACAATAATAACAAGCGAGAGGAGGGAGGAAAAGGAGGAAACGGACAGGGCCGGCGGAGTGCTCCGGAGCGCGGGCTCTCCGCGGCCTCCCCCTCGGCCGGGGCCTGGTCCCGACTCTCCTCCGTCTTTTTTTTTGTATTTTTTTAATTATTTCATAGAAAAGTCCACGTTAAAATCTCGGAAGGCGAAGGGAGCTGCGCGAGCGGGGCGGTAGTTGGGGGGCTGAGACCTCGTGCGCCTGCAAGTCCTCGTGCCGGCTCCGGCTCCGGTTCCGGCTCCGGCTCCGCACGGAAAAGGCCCGCGACCGCTGCTGGTTTTTGTGGATTTTTGGCTTTTTTTTT